TTAAAAGTGTTACTTTAAAAAAAGATACATAGAGATTTAAGAATAGAGTTATTATCCTTTGATCCTGTAAGGGGAAGTCTTGGCAGCTTTTTGTGGTTTCAGACGGCTCCTTTTTACATGACTATTATAAAAATTAGAGCCTACTTATACATAAATTACTCTTTAAAGAATGTAACTACATTGAGTTTATGGGATTATGGATGATTTCTCAATACACGTTTTATACTTTTTATGGTTTCTACAATGAGGTTGTGCCCTCGTAATCTACCATCTTTCCAACTAAATTCTGATTTTAATTTGGATGAATTGATGAATTTATTTTAAATAGAGGTGCAATGAAATTGTAAACCTTTAAGTTGAACATAGTTTCTCTTGTGAAATTGTTTGGTTGGTCCAGCTAGTAGATGACATCACTGGTGCCTCAGCCAGTGGGCAACACAGCCGACCCTCAGCCTTGAGGAGTGTGGGGCTGTCAGGCCACCGAAGATTCTGTGCAGGGATGCAACCTGCAGAGAACTTGGCGTCTTGGAGACATGAAACTCACCAGTCCAACAAAGTAGACCATTAATAGGTGCTTTTTAGCTTCTTTTTGGTATGTGCAGAGAGTTAATTTCCTCTACTTTTATTTTATTTTTATTTATTTTTAAAATTTTATTTTTGTTACAGATGTTTCTCCTTTTTTACCCCATTGACATCCTCCTCCCCATCCCCCACCACCACCACCACCGCCCCATCCCCGGCTTTGTTGTCCATGTCCCTTGGTTATGCATACATGCATATAAGCTCTGTGGTTTATCTCTTCCCTCCCCCCACCACCCCCCTTTCCTGAGGGTTGTCAGTCTGTACCCTACTTCCATGTTTCTGGGTCTACCCTATTCCTCAGACTGTTATATTCATTATATTCCACACATAAGTGAGATCATGTGGTATTTGTCTTTTTCTGCTTGGCTTGTTTCACTTAGGATAATACTTTCCAGGTCCCTCCATGTCGTCTCAAAGGATAAGAGATCTTTCTTTCTTACAGCTGCATAGTACTCCACTGTGTATATGTACCGCAGCTTTTTTATCCATTCGAAGTAGAATAATTTTTAAATGCTTAAGTAAGAACCCTGAGAGAGCCCTGGCCAGTTTGGCTCAGCAGTTAGAGCGTCAGCCTACGGTCCAGAGGGACCCGGGTTCGGTTCCCGCTAAGGGCATGGACCTCGGTTGCAGTTTGTCCCCGGCCCTGGTTGGGTCGTGCGGGAGGCAGCCACTTGATGTGTCCCTTTCATGTTGATGTTTCTGTCTCTCTCTTCCTCTCTCTCCCTCCCTCTCTGTCTGAATAAAAAAATGGAAAAACGTCCTTGGGTGAGGATGGAAGGAAGGAAGGAAGGAAGGAAGGAAGGAAGGAAGGAAGGAAGGAAGGAAGGAAGGAAGGAAGGAGGGAAGGAGGGAAGGAAGGACTGAGAGAGAGAGAAAGAGAGAGAGAGAATGAGTCATTTCTTTGAGTCTGTTCCCTGAGCACAGACTGAATATCCAGGTCCAGAAGCACAGGACTCAAGACCCAGGAGTTTAATTTTGGACTTCTTCAGAGATATGCACTGATAAAATCAAAGAATTTCACAGAGAAGAAGTGAGAGAGACTCCCCAGCCCCACTTTTATTCTGTGGCAGAGGGAAAAACAATCTGAGAATAAACTCACTGAGAAGAAATCTGTAAATACTCCCCAGGCAGACATTAAGATGTGAACGCCGAGCCCTGGCTGGCGTGGCTCAGCGGTTAGAGTGTCGGCCCATACACCAGAGGGTCGCAGGTTCCATTCCCGCTCAAGGACATGAACCTGGGTTGCAGGTTTGGTCCAGGTCTTGGTCGAGGTGCATATGGGAGGCAACCAACTGGTGTGTCTCTTTCACATCCACGTTTCTCACTCTCTCTTTTTCTCACCTCTTCCCCACTCCTTTCCACTCTCTCTAAAAAATAAAAAATCAATGGAAAAAATATCCTCAGGTGAGGATTAACAAAACAAAACAAAAGATATGAGCACCGAGAGAACAGTTTGGGAGCTGGAGAGCAACCCAGACACTCCTTCTGGTCATCAGCCTGAAACACTGCGCCTCCCTTTAGACCCTGGTGAGTGCCTTCCCCTGCCCACTGCCTGTCCCTCCAGCCCAGCCTCATTCAGAGGCACTCGGTAGGTGTCTGGAATCTAGAGGCAGTGCCCAGGGTGCCCAGCAAGCTGGCCCTGGAGCCCACCCATCTGGGACTGAGGGCCGCTCTTCTTGTAGCCTTGGGGATATCAGGTATCTTTCTTGATCCCTGTTTCTCCCCAGAGCATCAGATATCCTTCCTGGAACCTTCCTGCCCTGGGTCAGGTGGAGAGTGTGTACCCTGGGTTCAAAGTCTCGCTTGTCATTTCACCTATAAAAATTGGTGGTGATTATAATCCCGCTTATCTGTATGGGCCCTCTTTCTATCTGTCTTTCTGTCTATCTTAAATCATAGCTCCCATTTGATCCTCACAGCGATCCCAAAGGACAAATGTGATCCCCAATTTTCAAACGACAGTAAAATGTATGTACAAAGAATTGTTTTCCAAGTACTTTTCCATACATCACCATCCCCAGTACTATCATATCGGCAGGGAAAGTTTTACTAACCCAGATACACAAACGAGAACACTGAAGAGGCAGCTGTGAACTAGCTGGGCTCTGGAGATAAGAACATGTGGGATTGACTCCTGACTCAGTGGATTCTTTCCACCTATTTTTCTCTGCTGTCAACTGGGGACAATAATCTCAATATCTTTTATCATCATACTGGATTGTTTTTCAGATTAAATGACTGTGCGAGAATTAGCATTCTAATGATTTCAAAACAGTTTGCAAATGTTTTACCAAAGAGGAGAGAATAATACAGTGAACCCAATGTACCCATGACTCTCTTCAACAATTGTTGGTCCGAGGCCAATCTTGTCTCAGCTGTACCCACTCCTTTTTGTTCTTTATTCAGCAGTTTTCAGAATAATGAAGAATTTCCCTAACATCCCCAAAAGGTGATTTATGAGTTATTTGGAGTTTTAAAAAAATATTATTAGGGATTTGTAAGATTTAAGCACATTTGTTCTGCCTCATTATGTTGCAGTTGGGATCGTCACTGATGCTCGGCTTGACCAGGGAAGCCTTCTGGCTGGCTTCTGAGTCCTCTCCGCATGACTGTCGGAGTCTTGAACACTGTGTTTGCTTTTTGGGGTGTGACAGGATGTTCTAGGTTCATCTGTACATTTGCTGCACCAAACACTTCTCCAAGGAAGCCTGATTTCTTTGTGGGGGATGGTAATTAGAGTTCGAAATCTGATTGGTAGGTGAGCAGAGCTAGGGAGTGTGTGTGTGTGTGTGTGTGTGTGCGCGCGCGCGCGCGTGTGTGTGTGTGTGTGTGTGTGTATGTGTAAGATAAAACATCTGATACTTCCAGTTCACAATCAGGTCTGCAGAATTTGTGCCTGATCTCACCAATCTTACATGTGTACCTCCTTTCAACAAGAAATTCTTGTTTCTCAGCAACATCAATATTATTACTCATTTGATTTATCCCAAAATCACATACAGAAGTCTCAGATAACAATAATACCATAGTATCATCAATAGATTATTGAAAACAGTTTAGGATTGGGGAGAGGGGGCAGTTCTTTTTATTCTTATCCTATTTCCCTCTAAGGATATACAGTCCACTTACTGTGCTGTAATTTCTCTATGTGTAATTGTGCCAACTGTTGCCGGAGGAGAGCGTGTCTCGTCTCCCTTGGTTGCATGTGGGAGTGGGCTTCTTGGGGTACTGCTGGAATAAGTATTTGTGTCCCTCCCCCTTTCTTCCACTCCATCTAGAAATCAATGGAAAAGTATCTTTGGGTGAGGATCAAAAAATTTTTTTTTAATAAAAATATTAATTTTGTTATATAATTATGTCGAATATTTACATATTCCAAAGCAAATCCCCAAACAAGGTATATTCAAAGTCCAGCTTCTCTCCCTCTCCCCCCCACCTCATTCCTCCCCATCCCTGTAGGCCTTTGAAATTTTATTGTATGCTTTATCTTTTATTGTCTTTTTAAAAAGTAAGCAAAGACATATATATGATTTGTTATTCTTCCCTCTTCTTACACAAATGTTAGCATATTAAACACACTTTTTCCTCTTTTTTTTTTTTTACTTAACAATAATCCTGGAGATCACAACATAGGCATAGAGGATATATTTCAAATAGATTCTTAGAACAGGGATTTCTGGGTCAAAGAGTAAGCGCATACTTATTTTGATTCCTCTCTACGAAGCAATTTTACCATTGCTTGCCGATACATTTGAATGTTAAAGTAAATAATTAAATGTAGTATGTAAGCTCTACTGAGAAAGGTTAACTAATTGCCCAGGAGGACTGGAGCTGGGACTTGAACCTGAAGAATCCCTCACAAAAGGCCCAGTGGTGGGACCACCCTCCTCTACCTTCTTCCTATTTCACAGATCAGGAATCTGAGACACATGATATAACAAGGTAGAACTTAAAATCCGTGTCCCCTGCCACTAAAATGAGATCTCCTTTCAGTGTATTATCGATTCATTTATGGCGAACTCTCTTTGATTATCTGTAGATGGGGAAGAAAAACCATAATCTTCTAAGTAAGTTAAGAAAATTAATGCGATAATTACGGGTAAATGCTCCCTTGGGTGTAGGAAAGATTCTTCGAGATATGCCTTAATTCCTTTAGGTGAATAGGGAATCAGCAATTAGATTATGGAGTCAGGGCACTAAGAACGATCTTATGGGTGAGAGAGACAACCCCTCCTCCCGAGTCTAACATGTGTAGGCGCCTTGCAGAACCTGTCCTGTTTCTGTGGAGTGCTTTGAACTTCTTGAAACAAAGATGCAGTTATGCTGTGCAGAATCTTCCGAATAAGTAGGGACCAAGATGTCATTTCCCAGTGGATGGACAAGCGGCAAACCACAAAGTCTGTTCTTTTTCTTCCTAGAGTGACCCTGGGGTCTTCTTTGTGTTTGCTTTGCGACGTTGATTGACGTATGTGCAGTTTGGGACCCTGGAGGTCTCCTTCCCGCTGCAGACTGGGAGGGAGCCTTCTCTGGTGTTGCAAGAAGGAGGCTGAATGAGGCAGAGACGGTGAGTGGATCTTGGGCCTGGGGCTCGTCCCGGAGGGGTAGAGGTGGGGGGGGGACTTCTTGGCTCTTGTTCCTTCTCTTTGATGAGAGGAGGTTCTTTGCTTGGCCCCAAGAATCTTCTGAGGGGACATGTTCTTTCCCCCCGAGGCGGCCCCAGAGCCAGACCTCGAGGCTCTCCTAAGCAAGGACGCTGGCATTGGGAGACTGTTTGCCCTTTTTTCGCCAGCAGATGCTGTCAGCTGCCTTCCCTAGGCTTGGCATTGTTACAACTGTCCACCTTAATGGAAAACTCTGGAAACAGCTTTGTTTGTGACCTGCATCCCCCTTTAGCCTGGCTCCCGCAACCCGGGAGCCTCCTGAGTGACAGCCCTGGCATATGGGGAACAGTCTGAGGACCCTCCTCTGGGCGGGGCATTGGGCCCTGGCAGATGGACAGCTGTCCAGGGAGCAGTAAGCGGCCGAGGCCGACATCACTGTGTCCAGGGTTTGCATTGTTTCATCTGGGTTAGAATGTCCTGCTGCTCCCAGAATCTCCTGCTTTAGTCTCAGGCCAGGGGAGGCCATGCAAGAAGTGAAGGCTCTGATTTTAACCGAGTAAGTGACAGTGGATCCCGCACTAGTGGCCTGGAGGCTGCAGGCTGGGGGAGTCAACCTGGGGGCCCAAACAGAGCTGGATTTCCTTATTCTTGAGTTTGGGCCTCACTGCAGTTTGTCTTTCTTGCTCCGGCTCCCCTTCCAGATGTCTTCTGTTCTCCCAGAAAGAGTTGGAGATGGGGCTGGGACGGTGCAGGGAGGAGGTCGAAAGATGGGAGCAGAAATGCTGATGGTGTGGATTTGGGATCTGGACAAAATCCAACTCGACTCACTTTGTGACCACAGGAAAGTTGCTCATTGCTGGAGGCCTGAGATTTCTGGTTTATACAGTTGGTTAACAAGGAACATCTTGTTGTGAAGATTAAGTTAAAGATTAAACACCTAAAGAGCCCTGCACAGTGCCTGGCATATAGCAGATGTCCAGTAAATGAAAGTGTTTTTCATTCCAGCAGCAGCTCAGATACACTTGTCTATCAAGATAGTTCCCATGGGGGCCCCGTGAGGGCCACAGTTTGCTCAGAACAGTGTCAGGCTTTGGGAACCACCTGGGAAACCCATCTGACCACAGGGCTTTTTCACCCGATCAGTGTTATGAATAATGAGCTTGAATGTACTGACTGATGCGGTGGGGAGGGGCCTCATTCTTTTGTTTTACTGTATTTGGAGAACTCGGATTGCAAAAGTGCCAGACCAGTTATTGTAGTGGGCATGTAAAGTGCCCTACCAGTTATTCTAGTGGGCATGTAAACATGTGAAACAGCGTGAGGACAGATCTTCCGGTGTGTGACAGAACTGGGGTTAGTCCAGCTTTGTGTCCCCTGCCCCTCTCTTGGCACTTTTCATGTACTCTCCCTGCTTTCTATTCCTGTGCCCCCCGAAACCCCTCCAGAGCCCTCCCTGGGCATAAACACTCGGATTTCCGAACTGGATCTCTGCCGGAGGAATCCGGGAGCCCCCCCCCCCTCCGACGGAGCAACCTCACAAAGCTGCTCCTCTCCTGCACCTCTGGACATTTCCATCTAATCAGCGAGCCCTAAGATTGGTTCAGCGCGCGACTTCTACAGCGTGTCGTTTACATTCACTGTGCCGTCTCATCTTTGCAACAGCTCTGTGTTGGGAGCAAGGCTGGTGTCATTCCCACTAGACTGATGAATAAACTGAGGCTCAAAAAGCTGTTTCTCCAAGGGTCACAAAATTAACTGGCCACAGGGGCCACGCTAGAACTTAGACGCCATGAGTTGTAGACTGTGTTCCTTGCTGTGACACCACACTGCCTCCTCGGGTCTGAGGCACCCACACATCCTGGGAGGTCAAAGGACTGGCAGACACAGAAAGTCTAAACAAGAAAAAAGAATGCAGCGAATACGCAAGAGCGGGGACATACAGCTTTTGAGGGAACAGTACGTTCTGAGAGAAGGGGAGCTGATCCAGGTTTCTTGGGAGGATGCTAATCATCATCATTATAATAATCAACATTTGGGGTACTCTCCATGCACCAGACACTGTGTACTGTACTCTGTGTATATTTCCTGGTGACAGAAACACAGAAAGACCAAGGAACATGCCCAGAGCTCCATACCTGAGCAAGTACAGCACCTGAATTCAAATTCCATAGCCCACCCTGGGACCTGCTCAGCCAACCATTTGTGTTTCGGCTGCAGTGTATTTTCAAGCAGCTTGTTCCAAGTCTCCCTGCAAACTGCATAACTTTCTGAGCAAGCCTCCGGGAAGCTCCAGGTGGGAATCTGATTTTGCCCCTTCATTTAGGAAGCCTCAGAAAAGCAAGCCCGCGGCTTAGACGTCCTCCTTCCCTGTTGCTCTTTCCCTTTTGTTTGGAGGCCACCGCCATCTGGAGCTGCCCCAGGCATCTGCTCAGGAGCGCCCTCCTCCCACTCCCCACACCCCAGCTCCAGAGAAAACCTTCCCACACTCAGGCTAATCTCTCCCTCCCTTTCTCCCCGCACCCAGTGCTTCAGCTCCTGGTCCTCACTGGGCTGGACAGCTGCCCTCTCTCTGACGCGCGGCAGAGAAACCACCTCGCTTCCCCAGGCCTTCAATTTCCAAATGGATCCATTTGGTTAATTGCACTCACACGCCTAAGCCCCCACTGCCTGTTGGTGAGGATGTGGGCCTCTTCCCTCCAGAAACATTACAATAGGCCACCACGGGCAACCGGGCTCCGGACACACAGCTGTGTGCTGGCTGGGGGAGAGCCCTTGGAGTTGCATTAAGAATGGCCTGTGCTGCTTCCCACCCCCTGCCCAGGACCATTCCAGGCCCCCGAGACAGCACCCATGCTTGGCCACCTTTTCTGTGAGCACCAAGATCTGCAGGACTAGGTGAGGGGACGTGAGTTGCAGCAGTGAAATCTGTTCCCCTTAATAGCTGGTGTTATCACCTCATTTCTGCTGAAGTGATGCCACGTTTTCGGCCTCTCCTGCTGCCCTGCTAAACCCGTCTTTTTACTGGAGGCTGAGCTGTTGGGTTTGGGACAGCATGTCACCCTCTGAGTTTCAGTTTCTCGAGGGGACCACAGACTATAGCAAAGGGAGGCCCTTCTGCACGCTGCTGTCTACGCTTACTCAGGGCATGCGGCACAGAGCTGTCCTCTGCACGGAGCCCACAGTGTCTGGTGGAAGGATCGCGGCTGCCAGCACTTTGCACCAGACTCCTAGACAAGCGGTGCCTCTTGTGATGCAGGAAGCAGCCTTCCCTGTCTGTTCTGCCTCCCCTCCTCCGGGCTCCTGTATTTTCACATCTCCAGCCGGGAGCAGCCTGCCAGGATGGCAGTTGGACCAGACTGCTGTCTGTGTTGGATGTAAATGCAGAGGACTGGAGGGAGGAGAGGAAGGACAGAAGCGACTGCCTCCTGCTGCCTAAGTCCTTGCTCCTCCTGCCTCCTTATCCCGTCAGAATGGAATTTTGTAAATGCAACTGGGGATATGCTATCCTGGGAATATCCAGCCAGACCAGTGTTGCCAGCGGGATAGAAGTTACCTCTGCAGAACTGACCCGGCTTCTCTCTAGGGCCACCTGCAGGCAGGTGCAGCTGATGTCATAGATCGCGGGCATTGGTGGAAGAAGCTGGCATGAATGGGGGGCAGTCTTCAGGAGTGTGAAGGGCGTCGGTTAGGGAGACCCTGGCAGAGGCTGGAGAGCAAGGAGAGGAGCCCAGAGCTGCTTTGGCTCGTCTGGGATCTTGAGGGGCCTCCCTGTCTATCTGGTGCCTGAGCACATAACCATATGTCGGCTCTGAGAGTGAATGATGACTCCTTGGTCCCAGAGCCCGCACATGGTTGTTTGCACAGGCCTTGTGCATTCTGTAGATCTACCAAGTAGACCTGTCGATTTGAAAGCCGAGCTTGTGCAAAGCCATTTAGCAAAGCGGCAAGGACCAGTAGTCTTTGAATGCCAGGCTTGTGTCAGCTCTTGGCTTAGATGCTATACATATACGTTAGCCCATTCATTTAAAGTGAATTAACTAAACACACACACACACACACTAAAATGAATTAACTCAAATTATTGCGTTTAATTAAAAATCGTTACAACAACCTTGTAAGTGTATCTGTCCCACTCAGAGCAGAGCACGGAGGCTCTGAGAGTCAGTTGATGGCTGGAGACCCCACAGCAGGTCAAAAGGACTGAGGTGGGACTGAAACGGGGGTGTGGCTCCAAGCGCATGCCCTCTCCGTGTGCCAGCAGGATTGTCCTGGAGCTGCATCTCTGGATCAGTGTCTGGTGTGTGTCCCCTGGGCGGTGTGGTTCCCAGCTAGTTAGTTGTCCACCTCTATTAAGCCCAGCCCAGTTCTGCTGAAAGACACAGAAAAAAAAAAGTAGAAGACGCTCACCTTAAAGAAGCTCATGTTCTGTTTAAGGGGTGAAGAGCATCTCCCCCCACCCCCAAACTTCTCCTGTAGTCTTGCCCCTCAGTTTTTTTTTTTTCCTGCTTTAGCTCAGTGTATGGTTTTCAAATGGCTTTAAGAACCTTAGTCTGTTGAGACCAGGCTTGGAATCCCACAGAGAGAGGTTGGGGTAAGCACTTAACATGAGTGACATGGTGAGCAGAGGGACAGTGGCCTAGACTCTAAGTGGACATCGTTCAGCGAGCCTGAACTGTGGGTCAGTGCCTGGGGGGAGGAAGCTGCGTAGGAAGGGAAGGTGGCTGGGGGTTCGCACAGGTTCTCTAGGAAGGCCAGCTCCTGACCACCGACGGCGGGGGCAGGCTGTTCCTGCCGTGCATTCCGAAATGTGTAGTTTGTGACTGACTCAGGGGGCATACAAGAACGTAGCCCTGGGTCTTTTTTAAAAAAAAAAATCAATATTCAATATATTAAAGTTATAAACCCCAAAACCATTTTATTTAAACTGACCCATTTTTCAGTTCTCTTCATAAATCTCATCAAT